TGTGTGTGTGTGTGTGTAAGTGTGTGTGTCTCCTGCCTGATCTGGCTGTATGTTCAGTCCAACACTGGGAGTCGTGAACCTCCCATGAGTGAAAAAGAGAGCTCCTTTGTGTGTGTGTGTGTGTGGGTCAGAGGCTAACAGCACTCACTCATTTACTTTCCCCGTTCGTCCTTTCAGGGTTGGGACCTGTAGTATCCCAGCGTGTTGCAGTGAAATGTGGTGCCTGTTTGTGTTTGGCTGTGTTACCATGTTTCTGTTATGACTCGTTCACATGATCGTTTCTGTTTCCTGGATGATTAAGATGCTGCGTGCAGCATGATGGACGTGCAGACTTTCACAATAGAATCCAGTTTTCAAACTGGACCCAGTTTTAGTTCTAAGTTTATCACAGTTTGAGTTGTTCCTTGTTGTTAAGTCTCCGTCTCTGTGGTTAATGTGCCAGTGATTTAGTTTCTTCCTGTTTTATTTTGGCAGTCCTTTGTCTGTTAGTCTGTATTTAGTTTTACTTCTTATCTTGATTCTGTTGACCCGTACCTTGTGTTCTCGCTCCCGATATGCTCATGTGTCTATTTAAATTAAGTCTACTTGTGAGTATTGTTTTGTTGTCTCACTGTGTTACTGTTGCATGTAGAGGAACGACGTTATTGTGAATCGTTACATTTTTTGCAAATTGCTGAGTGGTACAATAACATATATTGTGATTTATTACTTTTTTCAAAGGCTAATTATTTTGTCTGTTAAGTTAAAATTATCTCACTTCAGTTGATTTTTATGTGAAAATCTGATTGTCACACACACCAAGCTGTCAACTAAAATCTGCTATCAATGTTGCCATGAGACAGACAGTCTTCTATGGTGTCAAGTTTGCAATCACGTGCAATCTGTTCCTAATAATACAGCAATTAACTGTGATAAAAGGTCAAAAAGCACAAACAGGTTTCTGTCTGCATAGACAGAAACTCACATTAACTCTCACATTTGCAGCCTCCTCTTCACAGTATTCTCAAGTATTTAATCAAATATCAATATTTGGTGTCCCTGTCTTGGTGTCTATACAATATCTCCATGCAAAATATGGCAATACTCTGCTGTATCGACACCCCCCTGTATCTCCTGTTCCCTGTATCTCACTTTTTGCTTGCAATCTGCCTGTTTCTGTGTCTGCTTTAGGGTCCACACTTCAACACACTAAACACAACAAATTTGTTTGAACATATAAGGGAAACGATTTAATTCGATGTCATTTATATAGTCCCAAATCACAACTCTGTTTCACCAGGTGTGGTCACTAGGTTCTGTAAACATGCTGTTGTTGAGCCAATATTAAAAAGAGCGGTTTGGATCCAACACAGCTTAAGAATTATAGGCCTATCTCTAAGCTTCCATTATTGTCGAAAATTCTGGAAAAAGTAGTTGCAGATCAACTTACAAGTTTTTTTTTTTTTTTAGAAAAACATGAAATTTATGACAAATTTCAGTCGGGTTTCCGTAAAAGTCACTCAACAGAAACCGCAAAATTAAAGTCTCTAGTGACATTATGATGTCAGCTGACTCCGGAGCATCCTCAGTCATGGTTTTGCTGGACTTAACATCTGCCTTTGACACCGTTGACCATACCATCCTGATTAACAGGCTCCGGGACAGAGTCGCTGTATCCGGTCTGGCTCTGGAGTGGTTTCGGTCGTACCTCTCCAACAGATCTTTTAGTGTTTTTGCAAATCGGTTTATGTCACATTCTAAAGATCTGAGATGTGGGGTACCGCAGGGTTCAGTTCTGGGTCCTATTCTTTTTCTTTTGTACATGTTACCTCTAGGACTTAGAATTAGGCAGTCCCCTGAGGTGTCTTATCACTTCTATGCTGATGATATTCAACTGTACTGCTCTTTTAAGCCGATGGAAGTCCATAAACTGTCCTCTTTAATTAAATGTTTAGCTTCCATTGAACAGTGGCTTGGTGACAACTACTTACAGTTGAACTCTGAGAAGTCAGAAACATTAATTATTGCCCCCGAAGTATCTCTAATCAAACAGCATCTTGGTTCTCTTGGCTCATCTGTTCACCCGAGCCTCAGGTACCTAGGTGTGATCTTTGATTCTGCCATGTCCCTAGAACAACACTCTCGCCAGTTAATTAGGAACTGCCTTTTTTTTTCAGCTAAGAAACATCTCCAAACTGCAAACTTTGTCTAAATCTGAGTTAGAAATGTTTATTCATGCTTTTATTTCATCTCGCTCAGATTATTGTAACAGCCTTTTTCTTTGTTTGAACAAAAGGAATCTTGACCGTCTCCAGTTAATCCAGAATGCTGCTGCAAGGCTTTTAACAAAGACATGAAAAAGAGAGCACGTTACACCAGTTTTACGTTCATTACACTGGCTTCCAGTACATTTTAGAATTCATTTTAAAATCTTGGTACTGATTTTTAAAGCTTTGAATTGCCCCTGCCTACATTTCTGATCTTTTAGAACCCCACGCTGCCTCTCGCAGCCTGAGATCACCTAATCAAAGACTGTTGGTGGTCCCACGAACTCGTTTTAAGACCAGAGGTGATAGATCTTTTAGAGCGGTGGCCCCCAGGTTGAGGAATGCTCTAACTCCATCATTGCGTTGCTTTAATTGTATTTATTCTTTTAAAAAGCAGCTTAAGACTCATTTATTTAGATTATTTTTTAATTAGATTTCTGCTGCAAGTTTGATTGTGCTGTTTTTTTTTTAATGTATATCTGTTTTTATATTACTGTGAAGCACTTTGTGGTTTTTACCCTGTGAAGAGTGCTATATAAATACATTGAATTGAAGTGAACAACAGTTGCCTTGAGGCACTTAATGGAAGGTAAAGACCGGTGACGGTGGGAAAGAAAAACTCCCTTTTAACAGGAAGAAACCTGACAGAACCAGGCTCAGGTAAGGGTGACCATCCGCTTGGGATAAGGGGAGGAAGAGTAGAGATGAATGATAACTAATGATGAAACGCAGGGTGGTGTATAAACACACAGTGGGTGAAAAAAAGGTAAGTGAAGAGAAAAAAAAGACAGTGCATCATGGGAAGCCCTCACCAGCCTCGGCACAACCAAGGGAGGATTCAGGGTCACCTGATCCAGCCCTAACTATATGCTTTATCAAAAGAAACAAAGTTCTAATCCCACTTAAAAGCTGCAGCCAATCAAGCACACCTAATGATGGCAACAACACTCTCCATCAGCAGCACCCTCCCACAGCAGGAGCAAGGCCACAAAGACTGCTCAAGAATACAATAAAGAGCCCAAGGAATTAATCTGCCCTTCAAACTCGAGGCCGAAAGCATCTCTTGTCAATTTTGTGACAAAAGATTCATGCAACTTTGCTCTGTAACACTTCCTCAGTTGCCCATTGTCCATGCTGTGATTAGAAAGAAATTCTTATCTCAAAATAACTTGGAGCTATTCAAAGACAAAATATGTTTAAGAAGAACAAAGCTGACCTCAGTGCGTCTAACAGACAGTGTTTCCTACTTACTACCCCAAATGCCTCTTTCCTGTCTGAAGGATTGTCTAATTGCTCTCTCTGTGGTGTTTGTAGACTTCTTAAGCTTCTGGTTCTTATTACCTGGACTCTGGAGAGTTCTCAGCAATTTAATGCCATCATCAACTCGTCTAATCTGTAACACTACCCAGTTCAACAGAGGACCGAGTAGGAAGTCAAGGTTTTTCCCCTCTGTAGTGAGGTCAGCCTGTGAAGATGTAGCCCACAACCGTCAGTCACAGATGCATGTATGCCAGTCCTGGCACTGTACTGAAGAAGAGTTTTTTTTCAAAGACTGATTGAAATAACAAAAGCTGGCAGGTTTTCATCCAGACATCTTCCTCTTTCTCACAAGCTGTGATGTGAAAGTGTAACAGAGAAAGAAGAGGAAACATCACATATTATAAGATAAATGTGACAAAAATTTGGAAAGAGAAATCTCAGCAGAGCACCGGAAATGCGCTTTTACGCCTCAGACTAGCCTCAGACTAGCATGCTACAGCTGGACATAGTGTTATTGTCTGTATATATGACATATATATATATATATATATATGACTCCTATAACAGCAGAGGTCAAAAGAACACTGCTTCACTGGGACTGACAGTGAAGTAAGAGCTCCAAAACAAAACAAGTCCTAATGGACAAATCGTTTTGTAACCAGATGAACATAATTATAATAAAAGTGAACATTAGATTGGAATGTTGCACAAAGAACACATTGTATCCACTGTATCAGAAAAAAGGTGTCAGAACCTTTTTTGAACTTTTTGAAGCATCCTTTGTGGATCTGCTGGAAGGTAACTTGGATGAGTTGGTTGTTGTAAAGCTATTTCTTATTTTGGATTTTCTGTAGTTGTCATTTTTCAATCTAAGGTTCTTGACAGGGGAGAGAAAAACAGCCTGTACATGTGCATATAATACCTGCTTTAAACTTAAGCGATAAATTAATAACATTTGCATTTTGATCCTTTTTTAGATTTAGATCAGAATTTTTAAAGATCTATACTTTATTAAAAGTAAGGTTCAAAATCTCGTCATGAGGTCACTGAACTCACCACTGGCATTTTTGCCACATATGAGATGCTCGTAGACCTGCAGCAGCCCCCACAGCTCTGCGTCGTTGCTCACAGCTCCATCCAGCAGCTCGGTGGTCACCGGACCGCAGATGACCCCGTCGTTATGCCCTCCCTCCTCTTCCGCGGTCAGCCTCGCCGCCTGCAGCCCACGTCCTGCCACTTCCTCTGCCAAAGTTTCGACACAGGCTGTTAGGCACACTGCAGCGTACTCGTGCACACGAACCGACACCCGCGTCTCCACCATCCACCTAAAGAAACGGCCCACGGAGAGCGTGAGGCCGCAGCGCGAGGACTTGCCGCGCTGACGCGCGGTGTTGCCTGAGTTCATGCAGTACAGGGACACCGCCTTCACAGCAGATGAGATGCACTTCTCTGCGAGACCCCAACTCAACACCAGCCTCACTGCGCTCTGCACTTCCAGCCGTGTGCACCGCCTGTGCAGCTCACTCAGCCGCTGAGCCTCCCGGGAGATGCGCACCAAAGCTCTCCGGAGCAGGACAGAGAGCCGGAGGACCGCTTCCCTCGTGTATGACGCACGCGTGCCGGCAACTTTACGCACAACTTCCAGCAGCTCCTGTTCGATCCAGGGATACTCCTCCAGCTCGGGCAGAAAGGGGCATTTCGTTAGGATATCTATCACGTCCTCCGGCAGCGTGCTCACAGTGTCCCAGCTACCGTTTCTGCTGTACAGGGAGCCGGCGTGCTGCCAGCAAGGACCCCGGTGAGGTGTGTTCAAATTTGGCTGCGAGTGCCCCGACCTGCCCGAGGACAGGCTGAGTGACGGGCAGTTCTCCTCCGCCATATAACCCGAATCCAGGCACAGGCCCTCTAGGGTTTTAATCAACACATTGTTGGACATGATGCGGAGCTCTTTACGCACAATAGAGAACCCAGCTAGTGTTTACCATTCCAATTTTGATCCCCAGTTTAAAGAAGAGAGGCTCCTACATCCAGCTGCCAGAAACACACAGCTGTAGGAGAGGCTGTACCAAACCTGACCGCAGTTTAAAGAGGGACGGAGTTTTTTACGCACAAGCGACCAATCAAACTCGAACTCACAGTCCTGCCACAACATCCTTTTCACCCTGCTCGTCAGCACCTCCCTGTGGCTATAACCACGCGTGATTATCTGTGGGTGTGTTAAAGTCATTGGGGGGGGGGGAAAGTCTGGTGTATGATGTTCACATTAAAAACTAGCTGGACTAGAACTCCTTTTCACCTCAGCTGTTTTTACTTTCCAAGTTGGAAAAGCCCAGATGAGACATATTTTGTTAAAAGCCAGCATGAACAACACGGAAGCTGAACTGTATTTTCAAAAATGTCATTAAATTTGTCTTCTGAGACAAGCAACGACCTTATTCAAAGCTATGAAACCTGAGGCCTCTGATGATGCAAGATTTCACCATATTCAGCTAAATTCATTGTTAACCACGAGCTTTCTATACAACGAATGTGGCTCTCTGGGGTACACCACCATTGTAACTTATGGTGCAATCAAACAACACCCTATAAGCAAGCACTTTGCAACAGTAAGAGAAAAATTCCGTTTTAACTGCAAAAACACAGTCACAGGGAAGACCAGCCAACTGCCACGACTGGTTGGGAGTGAGAGGCAGGAAAAAAGACAACACGGAAGAGAGCCGTCGATTAAAATGAATGAATAATGATTAAAGTCTAAAAACACATGGAGAGTGAAAAGAGGAATGAAAAAGAAAAGCTCAGTGCATCATGGGAAGACCCCAGCAGCCTAGGCCTATTGCAGCGTGCCTAAGGGATGGATCATGTGACCTGATCCAGCCCTAACGATATGCTCTAGCAGAAAGTTGAAGCCTAATCTTAGAAGCAGAGAGGGTGTCAAGCACCTTGAGGCGGCTGTTGTGATTTGGTGCTGTATAAATAAAATAAAATTGAATTGAATTGCCTTTAATATCTCTTGTGGGCCTCTTCCATTCAGGATTTATTTTTAATTTAAAATAATTATCCAGTCCAGCCCACATCATAGCTCTCAGCCAGTGAGACTTCAGAGCCTTGTTTCCCTCCTTCTTTCAAACAATAACCAAGGTACAAAGATTTGCCACAGAGTAATTTGCCTTCACAGAATAAGTCAATAGAAGAGTTTTGCTGTCTGAGTTAAATATTTTGTTCAGTAGCATTAAATGTTGTTCTGAGGTCTAAGAGGACACACACAAAAATAACCTAAATAACCTAACATTAGTAACCTTCACTTTACCTTACTTTGGATGACTCAGGAAGTAGACCGGGTCATCTACCAGTCGGACGTTTAGCGGTTTAATCTCTGGCTGCTCCAGTCTGCATGCCAAATATCCTGGGAATAACACCAAGTTGGTCTCTGATGCGCCATGGGAGCATGAACGTTAGATATGACGCAAGAAAAAAGAGCTAGTTTGAATAGGCGAATGAGGTATGTTGTTCCTGTTGCTCCTGAAGACCTTCTATGACTCTGTGGTGGCCTCAGCCATCTTTTACGGTGTGGTCTGCTGGGGCGGCAGCGTCTTTGCAGGGGACAGGAAGAGAACGAAGAGGCTGGAGGGCCAGCTCTGTTCTAGGACGCTCTCTGGACCCTGTGGAGGTGGTGAGTGACAGGAGAATGGCGGCTAAGCTGTCCTCGCTGTTGGTCAGCATCTCCCAGCCCATGCAGGAGACTCTGACATCACTGAGCAGCTCCTTCAGTGGCAGCTGCAGCACCCACAATGTGGGACGGAGAGACTCCGCAGGTCTTTCCTTCCTACTGCTGTCAGACTCCACAACATGGTCTCTGCAGAGGACACACACGTGCAGACAGACACACACACAACTGTAACTCTCGCCCTGTCTGCTTGTTTTGCAATGGCACTAAGAGCAATTTTCCCAGTGTAACAAAGTATTTTATTCTATTTGTACTTTTTCTATTGTATATGGCAGGGGTAGGCAACTCCAGGCCTCGAGTGCCAGTGTCCTGCAGGTTTTAGATCGCACCCTGGGTAACACACCTGAATCAAATGATTAGTTCATTATCAGGCCTCTGGAGAACTTTAAGAAATGCTGAGGAGTCATTTAGCCCTTTAAATCAGCTGTGATGGATCATGGACACATCTAAAACCTCCAGGACACCGGCACTCGAGGCCTGGAGTTGCCTACCCCTGGTATATGGTGTTCTTTCCGTTTTGTGTAGTATGTTATTCTGTTTATCTTATTCTATTGTTTTTTCTCTCTTGTACTTCCTGCTGTGACCAAAAATTTCCCACGTGTGCGACTATAAAGGTTTCTCTTTCTTTCTGTCTTTAAAGAGGCTTTGAGTGCTCAGGTACAGTAGAGAAGCACGATGTATAAAAACAGCACATTTACTGCTTTATTGTCTCTGCTTGCCTTACTGTAAAAGTCCCCGCAGACAAAGACAAAATAAAAACAGTGTTAGTGTCCAATATTAACATTTATTTGTATGCTGTGTGTATTTATTGTATGTTAACTGTATGTTAGTATGACTCGACACACTGATGTTAGGTTGCCGACCGTGTTACCGGGGTAACGCGCAGGCGAAGAATCTCTTTTGAATAGTAGTTATTTTCTTTAGGTTTAATAAGACATGTTTGAATTCTCCTGCTGGTCTTTACCCAGCACGACCACATCGGTCATATCGTTGCCTCGTTCTGTCCCTTTCAGTTTAAAAACATCTTAGACCTCGAACCCATAATCTACCATTTCCCCGACATGATTTTTACTTTGCAAGAGTCAAGGAAGACAAAGAAAATCAAAATTAAAGTTTATTGTTTCACCTCCAAGGCTTCAATCAGCTAATTGGTTGGACTGTAGCTACTGGACTTTGGCACATCATTTCTCCAACCCTGGAGGATTTTTAGGATGTAAATATAGTCAAATACCATAAAACATATTTACATCAAAACAATGGCATTACATTGTAAAATATGACTAGATTTATTTGGAAAAAATGAAGACCTTTCTAGAACAGTTCTCTCCTTCCTGGCTCGTCTATAACTGGAGAGAAACTCTTAATCTAAACTAACCACAAGATGTCAGCGTTTCATTATTTCTAAGAACACAACTGAAGTTTTTCTACCTTCAGATGAACAAACTAGTCCCAGCTGTGTATACCTACTGGTTCTACAGCACTGTACAATATTAAACACATGTTCAAATCATCTGATACATACACATTCGTGTTTTGCGTATTTTCACCGTTCAAGGAGGAAACGCACAAGATGCCTTTTCTGAGATGATACAAACAATAAATTACAGAGCTAGAAAAAAGCACTTCTTTGAAATGAGCTCAACAGGTTTCAGTGCGTATCATCGCAACAGTGAGCCTGCTCACCATGTCAGAGATCTGCACAATCAGTACAGCGCCAGGAAGCTGCTTCTGTTTCCTGATGTAGAGTCAGGTTAGGTTCAACGAGGTCCAATGCAGAACTGAAGCCAATCCAAATAAGGCATTGAGACGTTATTACAAAAAATAAACCTGTAACTCTCCTAGCAAACACTTTACAAAGGCCTAGACTGAACAGACAAAAAGTTAAAAAACTACAAACATGTTTTGTCTGTTGTAAAGGATGATGCTTCAGACTTGGAGTTCTTGGAAATGACTTTCCCGCCAATCCAGACCTAGAATATGATGTCTTGATTAAAGCAGGCGACGGCAGTTTTAGTCAGTCAGTATGATTGGGGGTGGCTGTTGCTCAGGAGGTAGAGCAGGTCGCCTACTGATCGGAAGGTTGGTGGTTCGATCCCTGGCTCCTCCAGTCTGCATGTCAAGTATCCTTGGGCAAGATACTAACCCCAACTTGCTCTCCGATGCGTCCATCGGAGTGTGAATGTACTTAGAAAGCACTGAATATAGATAAAGTGTGAGAATGGGTGTGATTGGGTGAATGTTGTATAGAGCGCTTTGAGGACTCCGGGAGAGTAGAAAGCGCTCTATAAGAATCAGTCCATTCTGGGCAAAAATGCTTTGTGCCCAAAGTTGGAACGATGACGTGACGTGTTTTCCACAGATCAGCGATTTTAGCAGGTACTCTGATGTTTTTTAATGTTCGGTTAAAGTGGAAAGATTGGTGCCCACAAACAAAACCCAAACTACTGAAGCTTCTGCTCGACTGGAGAAAAGAACTGAACTGAAAATCAATTAAATCTGACAAAAGTTCTCAGCTGATCCTCTCAGAATATGCTGATATATTTCTCATCAGTTACAGGCTCAAGCCATTTAAGGCTTATAAATGGCTTGGGCCATTTGCTTATTCAGCAAAGCATGTGAGGGTTGTATTAAGACAGACATCTTCTAATTAAGACATTTAAAAGCCAGAATGACAGCTAGCTAGCATGTCCTTTACTTCTCCCACAACTGGATACTGTCACACTGGATCTAACAGAACAGCACATACATCGTCCTGCTCACTGCTTCAGGACCAAACAAACCCATCTGCCTTTCACTATGTCGACATATTGTCTTTGTAACCTACATCTGGAACTTTCAGCCACATAAAGGGCAAAAATCTACCAGTTAAAATCTTACCCAACATGAAAAAGGGCTGAAAAGTCCGAAGGAGGAAACAGCTTCTTGTAGCCAAAAGTCTTTAGAAAGTCCGTTTGAAAATTGGCAAATACAAAACTTTTATAAATACTGGTCCCGAAACTGAAAGCACATTTTGAAGCAACTGTTGCTTAACACTGTAAATCTGACTAATAAATCACACCAGAACATTAATCACAGACTTAACCTTTTTACATGTAAAAGCGTCATAAATAAATTAGCGATCTACACTTTTCTGCTCTTCTCATGAAACATCGGCAGCCGATGTGTCCTCTGATTCTGCACTCGAGTCCAGGTTCGCGTCCCTGCTCAGAGCTGAGGCCTGCTCCGGCAGCTGCAGCCTCTCTGCTGCAGGCGGACTCTCAGACTGGGCCGTGCCCAAAGCCGGCGAGGCTACCTGAGACACGGGCGCCGAAAGAGTCCGCGGGACTTTGCAGCAGAACTGACCGGTGACGGCCGAACGCGCGTCTGCGGTGAGGTCGTTAGTAGAGGCCGAGTGCGTGGCGCTGGTTATTTCTGAAGGTGAGGGAGGTCCTACCGAGACATCAGCTTCTATTCCAACTCTCTCCGGGTCTGACCGTGGTGACGGCTGATCTGCTGCAACCACAGTTTGACTCCATGGGGGTTGGTAAGGCGGAGGCCCTGCTAGTGGGGAGCTGTCAGGGGTGAGTGGGGCTTGGCTGTGGATGATGACGGGATCTGGGGAAGGCAACGGAGTCTCCTCTTTGTCCACACCTTCAAGATTCACAAGGTCCTTGGAGGGACTCTGGTCTGGGGATATGGAGTCTGGCTGGTGGGAGATGATGCGGAGGCACAGGCCGGCTTTGGGGAACCCGCTAGCTGACGTTGGCTTCCCTTCAGAGGGCCGCACTGGACTCAGCAGCACGGGTAGCTCTTGGCCCAGCGGCTTACGGGGCAGCTCCTCAGGCTTCCCTAAAAACGAGCCATTAAGAACTGTTTATGTTTTTTAAGTGCACATTATTCATTATTATTCATTATTCACACCAAATAATGTACTGGAGTACTGGAGACTCCTAAAAGGACAGCCGCGTACCTGGAGGCGGGAGATCCAGCTTCATCTTTCGCAGCTCAGCCATGGAGGCCTGAAGCTGCTCAACGATCATGTCGTCGCTGTAGAAAAAAGTCTGAGCGATGCGCTCCTGCAGGAACTCTCTCAGCTCCTCCAGAGACATCTTCAAGAGGCGCTCTGTTCACAAAGCAGATGTTAAACTCACAGAAACGTGTGCAGTCACGTCTCATCTGTCTTGTACTGGAGCTGTATTCAGATGACATTTAACCCCTATTTTAAAAAACTGACAATAAAAAATGTGTAAACTGAGTTCTGTAATCTCACATATGATTTTGTAATGAGCATATTAATTATTTATATTTATATAACATCTTCTATTTTCTGCAATAATAACCTGTTTGCTACAAATGAGATTTAAACGACTGTAAACATCTGTACACTTGTAGATATCCACACGAACACAGAAACCCTGAATCACACAAGTATACAGACATTTATGCAAAAATCATAAAGATGTCTCGAGACCAGACACCAGTAAGTAGTACTTAAATTGCAAAGCGTGGCCTTGCCAAGTTTCACTTTTGCAGACTTTAGGAAAGCAAACAAAAACTGGAAAACTTCAAAATCACTCGATCTCAGGAGGTTAATAAGAGGCTAAAGTTAACACAATGTGGTTGTTGTGTAGAAGGGGAAGCTGAGCAGAGAGTGATTTATTGTTTCGTGGCGACCCATTCATCATCTCCTTACTCTTGTGTATCTTGAGGATAGTGTAAGACATGGCGGTGAGGAGCCGCTCTCCCTCCAGGATGAAAATGTCCCACAGGCGGAGCGTTAGGGTGAACGGTGTCTGCCGGATCACAAACACAAAAAGTTAGAGAATCACTGCAGCTTAGCTGGATTTGTTTGTGCCAGTGGGTTCATGTATGTGCTGTTCTCCTGCTGGCTGGAGTCAGGAAGTTTGTTTGGTTCCTTCTCAGACCTCAGAGGCCCCGAGGCCCCTCTGAGCCCGGCAACTCAGCGGGATGGAGAAGTGCTGACAACAGCCAAACGCTGCCAGACCACTACCACAGGATTGTGGGCATGCAAGTAGAAGGCTAATAACAGTTTAGGCTGACAGGTCTTAATGCTCTCTTCTAATGCGATGTACCCGAGCTCTGCTGAAATCATGTACAGTATAACTGTGTGTGAAAGACGATCCGGTCGTAAAGTCTGATGTAAAGTCTGACGTCACTAGCCTGTCTGGGCCTAAACTCCGCTGCAGGTCCATATATCAAACGATCACTATGGC